CCTTGTTGTATCTCAAGCTAAAGGAGATTGGAAAGTCAAAGAAGAAAAGATGAGAATCTACCACCAGACCTTGGACTTGCTGATTCCTCGGTTTGAGAAATTGAATTCCGCTCATCTGTTAAGAGACAACAATAGGTTTGCAGATTCATTAGCAACTCTATCTTCTATGATAGACATCCGTTTCAGAGTTCGGATGCGTCTTATCATCATCGAACAGAAATTTGCGCCAGCATACGAGCAAATTGCTGCCATAGATGAGGTTCAGGACAGGAACCCCGGGTATTACGACATTTGGAATTTCTTGGAGAAGGAAGCATATCCGCCAGGGGCAAATGACAAGGATAAAAGGGCAATCTGAAGAATGGCCGTTCAGTTCATCATCTGCGGGGGTAAATTGTATAAGAGAGGTCATCTGGGAATGCATAAGCTGTGTGTCGAAGCTGAGAATCGAAGCACCTAATGGAGGCCATCCACGGAGGGGAATGTAGTGCGCATATGAACGGGGTAATGCTAGCGCGAAAGATCCTCAGAGAAGGTTATTATTAGTCCACCATGGAGGAGGATTCTATCGGCTTTGTTCGGTGATGCCACAAGTGTCAGATCCATGCAAACTGCATGAACATTCCGCCGTCGAAGCTGTACAATGACTTCGCCATGGCCATTTTCAGTTTGGGGAATCGATGTGATCGGGGCTGTTACCCCGAATGGGTCTAATGGGCATGAGTTCATCTTGATTGCGATAGATTATTTCACGAAGTGGGTTGAGGCCCAATCCTGTGCGGTGTTGAAAGCGTCACATGTTGCAAAATTCATCAGAAACAACATCATTTGTCGTTATGGGGTCCCAAACAAGGTCATTTCAGATAATGGTTCCCACTTTAAGAAGGAAGTGATCGACTTGTTGGAGAAATACAACCTGGCTTTTCATAAGTCATCCACATATCGGCCGCAAACCAACGGGGCTGTTGTGGCCTCCAACAAGAACATGAAGCATATCCTGCAGATTATAGTGGAAACCTACAGGGACTGGCTAGATAAGCAGCCATTTGCTCTCTGGGGCTACAAAACATCAATTCGAACTTCTACTAGGGCAACTACATATTCCTTGGTGTATGGGATGGAGGCTGTCCTGCCTATCGAAGTTGAGGTTCCATCATTGCGGGTTATGGCTGAGTGCCAGATAGCTAAGGTAGATTGGCAGCAAAGTAGGTTTGAAGAACTCATGCTCTTCGACAAGAGAAGGCTAAAAGCAGGTGATGGGTGGGGATGGTCTACAAGCCCTACCCTGCCCTTCCAAGGCAAAACACAAGTGTTCGGTGCAAAACCGGACACTGAACGGTCAAGTTCGGAGATTCTGAGGTAGGGCACGAGAGCCAAAACCTCCGGGAACTCCAAACAAACACAAACAAGGATAATCACCGAGTGTTCAAGCGGTGACGTCCGAGTCTTGAGGACGGTCAAAAATGGGGTGTCTACAGTATTGCATGCACCGAGGCTCGGCGCATCATTCAAACTGCATTGTTATTTCAATATCTTATTTGAATACGTGTTTAATCACATGTTATCAAATCGATTCATATGTCATATTACTAGCCGAGCCTATTAATTGCATTTTGCATGTGTTGCATTAGACATCTTGTATAGTTAGGAGTCATGCATATTTTTCTAACTCGTGTTTTCTTAGCTTGGAGTACTAGGTGAGTTTTTATGCTTTAGCATACTCACATGAATGCGAATGTTGCCATGTCTAGCATGCTTGCCATGAGGCTATGTGCTTAAATGCTAAACTACTTGGATGCCTGTGGGTGAAGGCTTGTTGTTTGAATTGGAACGATTCAACAAATGTGCATTTTAAACCCACTTCATTAAGTGGCAAATTGTGTTTTAAGCCCACTATGTTTGGTGGCGAATCCGTAAACATTAAGCACACTTGAAGTGGCAACTTCAAACCATTTTCGCAAAGAAACATGAGTTGAATTGTTCCAAATTGAGCAAACTAGTGTATACTTGCTTGTGTGCATCACATAGTAAGCTAGCCTAAATAACTAGAATAAGAGCACATAATGTTTATAAAATATCATATCATGATTAGTAGAGGTCGATCTTTGTTCAGGCGAGCGGGGGTGCTCAATTCATAACATTCCCCTCTCGTACCTAAGTTCCCTAGCCGAGGCAACTTTGGTGATGATGGATACGTGGCCTTTGGCACAAGTCATGGGTTTCCTAAATTTCCACAAAATAAAATATTAGGTGGCGACTCTGTATCTGGCAAAGTAGTCCAATTTTGGCATTTTGATTCAAAATCAGTTTTCCAAATTGATTTGTCGAATTTGGACTCTTTGGTGATTACCAGTTTCACATTGCACTTGTGAGATTAGATTCAAAATCGCGGGAGTCCGAACTGTAGGGCTTCTTTTCGAGTTTCCAAAATGGGGCACGAAAAAGCCAGGCTACACCATCTCCTTGACTGCAATAGATTGTCGTGCCATAAATCCCATCCATGGCTTGTCAATAACCAACTTTGACCCCAGCTAGCACAATCATTGTGATGTGTGGGGACTACCAAGGTAATTGTGAGGCTCAATCTGTGAGACTTAGTTTAAAAGTCTGAAATCCATTCTACTGGGTATGGATGTTAGTATTGCTGAATTGAAGGCTGGTTTGAACCCTCTCATGGGCTACTT